TTGTGCAGTTTTTCCCTATTCACCTGCACAGTCTTGTCTAAGAAGTGTTCTTTATTTGTATATTTTTGCAACATTTACAGGTATCATTTACTGTATGTAATTTGGTTCTTTTTTCAGACCAAGAGTTTGTTTTCATACCTGACGCGGTCTTCCTCAGAGTGGTCACGTGATGTTTCTATGAGGTGTCCGCTCATATACAAATTTTATACAAATTTTGGCGCTGTCTTCCTACCGGAGGAGGCAGTATGACACGCCATCTGCAGCAGTCGAAACTGTCAGATATGAAAACAAACTCGATGTGAAAAAAGAACCAAATAACATACAGTAAAAGATAATTGTTGCAAAAATATACAAAAAAAAATTAATAAAATTCTTAGACAAGACACTGCAGGTGAAAAGGGAAAAATCGTACAATTTCAATCAATCAATTTGAATCTTCTGTAGTTTACTCAAATACATGTAAAGAAAAAAATGTTATAATAGAAATGTCCATAATAGAAATAACATCTCCAAACAAGTGTCTTTCAGAAAAGTAACATAGAGCACCTTTAAGATGATCCATTTAAAATATATACATTAATTTATCATAACTTACCATATTTACTGAACAACAATACATGAAAACAGGTGATATAATATATTTAAACAGGTAATGTATTGATTGGTGATTAGACTCTATAAAGTAAATTGTAAAAGAGAGTAACATAAATTATCGGAAGACCACATGAACCTTATTTGACTGCTATTATCATTTTTCGAGCATTAAAACCCTTAAAGCACCATTAGTTTTAAATTCTTCCCCAGTTTTGCATGCATTGTTTTATTTACAGCCAACATTCACAGCCACATAAAAGCCCACATCTGTTTTGCCTTATACCACGGCGATGCTTCAGTACAGGACAAGGGCACGGCAGTTAAGAGGCCATTTGTCAAATTTCATCGTAGTTGACCTTCAGTTTGGAACACCACTGACACTGCGCATTCACACCAGTGTTAATATGCACGGGAGGGGCTATGACATTTATATATATACATACAAGCATACATTAAACCGCCCACACAACAGCGCTAGTGAGGCCCCCACGTGCATCATGGGAGACCGGGGTAATCCATCATCGGGCTTCTGCGTGTGGACTTTGCTCACGTCACTGCAGAGACAGGCCCTGTGCTGTCAGCGGTGAGGGACAGAGGGGCTCCAGTTATATAGAGTTTATTTAAGTGTTTGTGATGACGAAGGTTGTAAAGAGACTGTTAGGGCCAGAGAGGTGTAATGGACTGAGAGAAGAAATGCAAATTCATACTATAGAATTGTCCAAGGATTTCAGATGTCAGACAACACAGGGAGCCATGACGCTTCTATAAACTGTTCCAATGTCAAGACAAAAAAATAAAATAAAAAATAAAAATAAAAAACTTGCTTTGGAAACAGCTCTTTTATAATTTAAATACATTATATCACTCGTTTTCATGTATTGTTGTTGTAAATATGGTAAGTTATGATAAATGAATTTTAACTTGACCATCTTAAAGGTGCTTTGTGTTACTTTTCTGATAGAGCAGGGGTGTCTAAACTTTTGTCATCAAGGGCCACATATCTAAACACAGATGAAGCAGAGGGCTGATCTAGGGCCATAGACTGGTGCTCAATACAGTGAATAATTGAAATATGTGCATGTTAAACACGTTAGAATGAGCCATCAGCCTTTATTCATGCTAAGATCCTTAAAACCACACACTAAATATTAAATAATAGCTTTATCAATCTAGATTTTCAAAAAACTTGCAGTGAGAAGTTATTTTTTAATTGATGTACAGTAAGGTAATTTGGGCCAATTCACCTGAAAGTCTGAGGGCTAAGAAAAATTTGTCTGAGGGCCGCATTTGGCCCACGAGCCATAGTTTGGACATGCCTGTGATAGAGGCTTGTCTGGCGATGTTATTGCTTTTATGGAATGTTCCACAATATGTCATTAATCTGATCAGTCAAATTCACATTAAGATTGTCAGATCTGTAGAGAGGCAACACCACTCACAGTAAGAACGCATGCAAGACATACAGTATGTTTAAAGCCCTACTGTGGAACATAAAACTGACATAGTGCACCTTTCAATCTAAATTCACCGCTGTAATAATAAATATAATAAGCGTAACTTTAAACTGCAGGGGTATCTGTGAAGGGGAAAGGGTGGGGCTTCATTAGGGCTTTGTATCATTCAGAAGTTGCCGATACAATACATACCTCGATACAGTGAGCTTACGATTCAGTACGATTCAATATGATATATTTAAATTCGATTCGATATGGGTCAATAAAAAATAAACACTAAATGATGCCTGTGATAGTAAAAGTCTTTGTTAAACCACTTCTTGTGCAAAGATCATATGAAATACAAACATTTTAATCGTCAAAACAGTGAAAATGTCAAATGTGTCACATAAACGAGTTTCCTTCCTCTAAAGCACAGGTGTCAAACATAAGGCCCGGGGGCCAGATCCGGCCCTCCAAGACCTTTAATCTGGCCCTCGGCTGATTTTCTACTAAAATATTTTTATTATATTTTCTATTAAAATCTTGTTAATTTTCTGTGGTGTTTATCACAGCAGTGTCTCCAGCGTCTGGCCCCTCCCACCAGAGCAGCACAAATGAAGACTTGTCTCTTTCCAAACGCTCTTAAAGGATGATCGTTTTGACTGTTGACAGTGACACCCTCATCAGAAAAATGTCCAAAATGAGAAAAGTGGACGAAGAGTGCAGGATTTTCCAAGAAAAATTGACTTATTCCTTTTTGCATACAAGTTAAAACATTGTGTTGAAATTGCATTTTTTTTTTTTAAGTTTCAGGTTGTTCATAATATTATCATATTTTGTAAAAGAAAGATTTCATCAATTAAAAAAGATTTCTGTAATAGATTTGAATTTCTCTGCACAAATATTTGAACTTATTGCTATTTTTGGGGTTTATATGCCATGAGTTTTCTGATCCGGCCCCTTTGGGATCAAAGTCGGTTGGATACGGTCCCCGGACCAAAATGAGTTTGACACCCCTGCTCTAAAGAAACAAAATACTGTAGCTGTAACAAAATAATTTTGTAAAATATAATAATAATAAAAAAAAAACAAAAAACTCTTGCCAATATATCAATACAGCAGCCCAAGATATCAATACTGTATCATCAGATTAAACAATACGATATATCGATATTTCAATATTTTTGCACACCCCTAGGCTTCATATGAACATTTAGAGGTAACTCTAATAGGCACGAGCACATATAGCCTATATCTGTGCCAGTAGTTTGGATTCATTTTTTTACTTTATTATTTGCATTTATTCATTGTAATTGTATTATTTGTTTACAAAAAAACAAAACAAAAAAACATCTGACCCCTGTCATGTTTTACTAAAATGTAAGTCTTTGTGAGATTATTCAGTATTTCGTATACTGTGGTTCAAAGCATGAAGGGTGTCAGATGAAAGCTTTTTTTGCTGAAATGTTATTTGAAGATAGAGAGGGGCTTTTGGACGTCGGCCATCTGAGCGTGCTGTGCATTTTTTCACTTTTGCTTTGCTGTTTCTTCCATTTGCACCTCTGTGGGAACTTTGGTGTGTGTTTTCTGAGATTAATCAGCACAACTTTTCCATTAAATGTCCTTTATTACGCAAAATTGCAAGCTTTAAGACATGTTATAATGTTGTTATCTCATCAAAAACAGACCTGGAGTTGTGTTTTGTTTCATTCACACATGTCTGAGTAATCCTGCATTATTAGTCTGTCTACATCTCCAAAGCTAAAGCTAAACCAAAATGACTAACTTTGATGATTGTGGTCAAATGTGATCTCTATTTGTAAGAATAAACGCTGAAATTGTCAAACTTTGATATGAATATTTAAAGGTCCTATATTATGCAACACTGATTGTTAAACCATGTTATAATATTGTTACCTCATCAAAAACAGACTTGGAGTTGTGTTTTGTTTCATTCACACACAGTTTGAGTAATCCTGCATTACTAGTCTGTCAACAAAAGCGGTAGTTTTCAAGTTCACACCTTTTACCTTTTGTTCAGTAGAGTCTGGCAATTCCAGGGCTGAAATTATCCAAATGATTCCCATGAAGGTGTATGGAGTTTAAAAAACAAGTGGAGCACTTGTATTGCCACTTGACATCACAAGGTGTAGTTTATTTAGTTTTTTTTTTTTAAGAAAAAAAAAAAAAAAAAAAGCCGAGGATTTGTGTGTTAAACATGTGTGAATGAAACAAAACACAACTCCAGGTATGTCTGTGATGAAGAAACATCATTGTAACATAGATCAGAAAACAGTACTCTGAGCCCTTTAAAGATAAAGATTGTTACAGAGCAGATAAATAGTGTTGCTTATTTTAAGTTTGCAGCAGCTCAGTTGAGCCATGTCTGGGAAATAATATAAATAAAAGTTTCAAAACTTTCAGATTCAGGAAGCTGCTGAATTCCAGTCTAGCATTCTTCAAACAAAAGAGAAATAGCAGACATTTTATGTAAGTGCTTGTTTGCAAAGCTCATTTCATTGATTTGAACATTATCTAAAATATGTTCATGTCATTTCAAAGCATAATGTTTTCAATTATATTTAGTCGATACGAATTAAAATGTTCTTGAAGGCCATGGCTGCGGCAGATGAATCACCCTGAAAAACACTGCAGACAGTCATAACTCAGCACATCACCGGATCCAATGCTGCCACCTATGCGTCCTGACCATAAAATAAACGCACGTCGTACCACGCGTTGACAGGCAGGGGGCGCACGGCCGTCAGCTACCGCGTGTGCTCTGTATCTCTCCCCGCTCTCCCTCGCCTCTGTGAGCCTGTCTGTGCCCCTCTCTTCTCTCTCTCTCTCTCCAGCGGGAGATGCCGGAGTGAAGCGCAGCCCGCGTCTCATTCATGCTTCGCGCTGCTCCCCCGTGCGCACGGATCCACACCGCTCCGTTTTGGAAAACCCTTTTCACTGTTCGCTCCTTCTCTCGTGACTGAACCGCTCTTGGAATGGACTTGTATTCTTCTACCACAACTATTTTCCTCTAAACACTTCCCGCCCTAACCATGTCAAGCTGGATTGCACTGAAGGACGCTTGTATGAGTAAGTAAAGTTTTCGTATCTTGCAGCGATCACGTACATTTTCATGCTTGAGTCTGCTTGCTGTTTGGTTGTTAAGGAGGGATAGCTGTGCACTGCAGGGGAAGGTAGGAATCCGTGCCGTGTCATTTTAAAACCTGGCGTGGCGTAAAGGTTGCAGATATGCTTGAAACGATCCAGGATTGTCATGTTTTTATACCGGACCAACTTAAACCCGAGATTTCACGACACATTCTTGCATTTCTCCTCATTGCGGCTTCATTTGCACGTTTGCACATCCAAAGCCGTTCCCCACTCGTATTTGTTGTGGAATGCTTTCTCAGTACTAGGTGATGCTGCTTAGGCTCAGACGCGGAGGGAGTAGCGCTCGGTAATTGCATGTGTGGTTCGTATTATTAAACCGTATGCGAGTGGCCGCGAACTTGAAAGCGCGTTTGACGTTGACACTGCGCGTGCACGTGCGTAGACAGTATTGAGATTGCGTTGCGTTGTGTGTGTGAAAGTTTAGTTTGCAATAACGCTCGTGTGATTTACCCTAATTCTCTTTGGAGTCAATGTCGTGATTAACGCGCGCAGCTTTTACCGTTTTGACCAAATCTGACTTACGCGTTTTAGCCATTTTAATTTCTTGTGATAAAAAGCTCGCATCCTTTGTCGAGATGATGCTGGGCGGATGCAGAGATGGAGTGCATGCTTTTGTGAGACTGGATGAGCCCTATACGTGAACACACAGGTATAAATCATATAGTGTTCTAGATATTACGCTCTATAACCTATGCCAGACATACTAATTCATTTATTCAAATTAATGTAGAGCGTAATATAATATTTTAATTGCAGCTATTTCACAAATGACCATTTTTGGGTCTTCCAATTCTATATAGCTGGGTTGCTTTTGCTTACTGAGCGCATGATATCAATTTGAATTTATGATGGAACATGTATTTATCCAAAGCAGAGAGTTAAAATGAGTGTTAGTTGCGGGAAATGAGTTAACACAACTCAATTATTTTATGTTGAACACAAGTCATAGATAGACAGATAGACAGAAAGATACTTCTAATCAAATTTCAATATAAATTCAATTCAGTTCATTTATTTATGCAGTTTAACAATAGACAATAAACTCAAAAAGCCAGTATTGTATGTTCTATGCCGTAGCCCATATATATACAGTCTTGTAACCCGCTGCGGTGCCCTGACCCACAGTTTGGGAAACCCTGCGCACCTGCACTCCAGATCTGTCAGGTCTAACCTATAGCAGTGGGAGCTCTGAGCAGCGGTTATATAGTGCCGGGAGCGGGCAGTTTGTGTAGTGCCTGTAGTGAGCATGGGAGAGTCAGACGCATTTCTCATTCTATACGCGTGGCTGTGGTCCTCTTCATACTGTGAGTCCAAATGAGGCTCTTCACTTGAATATACAGTCGTTTTTCATCTTTAGGTTTTGCACGGGGAAGGGAGTCGTTTTGGATTAAAAGCAGGTTTATTCCGCAGAATTATAAAACATTTCATATCTGTGCGGAAGATTTGTGCACATTGTTTGTTTGTTACATTAGCCTGCATAGCTTAAACAAGTAAAGATAACAATTTTATACTTTATAGATGATATTTAGATTAGATTTAGGTTTATTGCCATTGCACAAAATACAACGAAACTTCGACAGAGCCAATCTGTAGCAGTAAACATGAAAAAATATAGACACGTTCTCACATCCAAACCAATAAAAACATTAAATAAATAAATCGCTGATTGATTTACAACCTGGAGAACAAGTGTTGCATTTCTAACAGCTGAAAAATTGCTTTACGTGATTCATTTTAGCCTTAAATTTGCGAATTGGTAGTTAACGTACTTCCTTTTTTACCAGATTTTATGTGAATTTTACCCAATCCCTAACTGTCATACATTACGTGAGACAGTTTTGATCAAAGCTTTTTATTTGTCGTCATTCTCCAACACTTTCCCCATGCCACACAACATCTGTATGTGGCTTCCCCTTTAATACTTTACATTGATCTATTTTAATCCACTGCTTAAGCCTAAATCTGTAGCTCTTAACTTATGCACTGGTCCAAGTTGTGTTATATTTTTGTGCTCACTGGCCGCCCACGCCCCCTCTTGTACACACATACGTACACATAACACACACATGGTTACTCGCGGCGACGTCGTTTTGGAGTGCCGTCAACGCGCTCTGACAGTTTTGTGTCACCTTATGAATTTTTGACTGGAGATGGTGCGTAGGTGAGGCACGGCAGACTGCGTGCTGCGGGCTCGGAGCCACTGCCTCAACTACTGCCAACTACACAGAGCGGAGAGGGGAGATAGGAGAAAGGAGAGAGGGAAGGAAAGAGGGAGGGAGAGAGAGGGAGAGCGCTTCATCCTCTTCTCTCATGTCTCTCTGGGGTGAGCCTGTGTATCGTGGTGATGAAGATGATGAAGAGGAAGGGGCAGGGGAGGTCCTCAGAGATGTCTTCGAAATTCTTTTTGTGTTATCTCGATGACAATGCTATTACGATCCATCGCGGAATTGCAAAAAAGTGTCTGTAAATGTTGAGGTCAAGGTTGGAGTATTACGTAGGATCGCTTGTTTTTGAGTGATAGTAATGATAGTGGTGAAGATTTTACTAGCACAGGATTGGCCATGTTACTGTCAGGCTGCCCCAGGGCGGCTGTAAATACAAACATTTCTAATAATATTTTCCTCTGACAATACCAAGCCTGTAGAAACTGTACGGAAAAACTATACCTGATTCTACAGTCTTAAAGGGACAGTGTGGAATTTTGGACATAGGACCTCATTTCCTAGTTAGCCAGAGTGTTGGGAGACATGTGGAGACACTTTTTAAAATATTCCATCCAGTCCTTGTATTTGCAGAGGTCGCTGGTGCTAGGCTAGTGCATGTCAATGGCCATAGTTAGGCTGCCACTAAAAACAGTCTTACCCACTCCACAAAGCACCCGAAGCAAATCTATTATTACACCAGACTATCGATGTGAATGTCTGTGCTGATAGAATAATGTTTGAAATAAAACTAACCTTGCATCGCATGAATCGCACATGTTGAGGGACTATTTTGTGAGCAGCAGCGGAATTTTACTTTGCCGATAAGATAGGTGCTAGGTGATATCAGTCCGCCGCTGCCAAGCTTTCTATCAGGAAGTACAACTCTCTGCTGCTGCTCAGACATAAATCCTTCAAATTTCCTTCAAATCGACAGTCTGGCATAATAATAGATTTGCTTCGGGTGCTTTGTGGAGTGGATAAAACTGTTTTTAGTGGCAGGCTAACTATGGCCATTGACATGCACTAGCCTAGCACCAGCAACCTCTGCAAATACAAGTACTGGATGGGATATTTAAAACAGTGTCTCCACATATCTCCAACACTCTGGCTCACTAGGGAATGAGGTCCTATGTCCAAAATTTCGGCCTGTCCCTTTAAAAACGTGAAAAAAAGAGACAGTTCAATTTAATCAGTTTGCAGTGATCCAAAATTATTCCTCACATCTCACCCAATGAGTTCATGCCATCACAATAGTGCTAAAAAACAACTAGCATGCTAATGTGCCCTTCCTGATTATCAGATAATATAATGCTTTCTAATTAGATAGCAGGCAGCATGCAGTTTGACCTTAATTATACTTTATATATATGTACTGGAGCAAGACAGACAGACCTCAGATACATCAGAAAAAATGTCTACAGGGCCTTGAATAATAAAAATCAATCCATTACATTGACTTTTTGTTCAGTACGACAGAACTGAGAAGCCCTGCCTCCTCGTAGTAACATTTCATCATGGTTAGCAGCACATTTTCATTTACTTGTTTTTTATAATTGAAAACTGGCTATGTGACATTTTTAACCCAACATGTTTGCCCCAGAGTAAGAACAGATCAGTGGGCGGGGATAGGGGGTCAATGAAAACCAGCATTTTCCGAGCACTCAAAATGCAGGGGAGGTCCTCAGAGATGTCTTGGGAGCGTGATGGGAGGCTGGTGGGAGCAGATAAGACCCGTGCACCTGTGGTTGGACGGATGAAGCGTGACATTGGACCTGACTGCTGTGTAGACGCACTGTTTGTAAAAGCAACATGAGTCACTTATAAAGCAGAGACTCCAGGTTCCTTTTTTGCTTCCTTGCTTGCGCGCTTGGCTCTCTGCTCACTGCTTACTCTCTCATTGTGGGGTTTATTGCTGCTCAGCCTGATATGCAAGTGAATTGTGAATGTAAATTAACCTGTAAATGTATGTGAGAGTGGGTGGTATATTTTGTAGTGTCTTTAAAAGGTCTTATATTACGGATAATTGACTCTTGTGAGGTTTTAGCCATGTTGGACTGTTCTTACCTCATTGAAAACATACCTGGAGTTGTGTTTTGTTTGAGTAAATCTTTAGTATTAGTTTTTCTACATCTCCCAAGCTCGTGCTCTGCTCCACCTTGTGACGTCATCTATCTATTAATGCAAGTAACTTCTATCTGTGTGCCTGTTTGTTTGTTTGTTTGTTTGTCTGTTCCACACATAACTCTCAAACCGCTGATTCAACTGATCTCAAATTTGGAGGGTGTCGTCCTAATGGTACGGGTGTGTGCAGTGCCAATTTTCATGTTGTTATGTCAAAAAATGCCGAAGATCTTTTAAAATTTGTGATATATATTATTCAATTCAAGTATGGAGTTTAAAAGTACAGTGGAGCACTTCCTGTATTACCACCTGACATCACATGGTGAAACAGAGTATTTTCTGTTTGAGAGAAGAACTCGTCTTAAATATGTGGGATTTGTGTGTTAAAAATGTGTGAATGAAACAAAAAAACACAACTCCAGATATGTTTTTGATGAGGAAACAACATTATTAGGGGTGTAACAATATCCAAGTCGCATGATATGATATCATCACGGTATGAACCTCACAATATGATATTTTTGCGATATCGTGGGGAATCTCTTGGTTCAATATTTTCATGATAAACATCTCACAGTACGATATTTATTGCGA